AAGATGTAACTCTAAAGCATGCACGAGTATTTCTTTAAATTTTGTTTCTGTTTGAATTGCCAATATTGCTGTTTGGTTTGGTACAATTAAGTGTTTCTTAAATAGCCACTCATGCGATTCTCATTATAACCGGTGAAGTGGGTACTGGTTTAACCTACGTTTTATTGAGAAACTGAGGCCTGCAGAGATTAAGTAACTTGATACAGGCCACACAGATTAAAAGCCAGTATGACTTCAGATGGTCCTCTGGCTGTACATGAGGGCTTCAAAACAGTTGTGGGAAGAGGATCTTATGTTTTCATTCCATTGTCCACAAACTTTTTGCAGCCCCTCCACTGTATGCATTGGCCAAGAATATTTGGCCTAGCCTCATGTGTCTTAACCATGTGTCACTTAGTAGATTCTTGCTACCTAAGTTGCCTTCTGTACAGACTTGGGAATTGAGGGAAACACATACAAGGTGGCTTCCATACAGTTCATGGAGAAATGGAGCTAAAGGATGCAACGGATTTTTGCCACACACTTTTGGAAGCCTCTTCATGTACGACGGGGATAATTGACCTCAATCAGAGCTATAGAGACATTCAGTGTTTATGTCCTGCAGTTTAACACCATCTCTCCTAGCATATGTTCACCAGCTGCTTCCTTCCCTAGAGTGTCATCAGCTTTTTCTGGACTCACTTGTTTTGACCTCTGCTACTTAGGTCCTTGGTTTGCCTTGGATACCAGTTAAGAGGAGGAAGCAAATGAGGGCTCCACATCCCTGGCCTGCTATTCTGGGCCCTTGCTTTCCCTTTTGTGACTAACATATGTGGAAGGGACTTGTATTTGAATGAGAGCCCAGAGATTTACATCTGTGCAATGTTTTGCTTATTTGGGGATTTATTTATCTCAGAGATGACCCAGAGGTTGGGGTACATCAGCTTGCAACCTGGTCCCTCACTGATGGTTAGCACTTGTGATTCCCCACTCAGGCCTCTGATTACAGATGGGCCACAGTGGGTTACGATAACCCCTGAGTGGCCTTTTCTTGGCCCTTGGATGAAATTTTGTTAGGCTGGCCTTTCATCACTTAGTTAGCCTTTCAGCCCTGCAGAAGTGCTGGCAGGAGCCATTTGGTTAATGGCATCAAATGCCAAAAATAAATAAATAAATCTGTGCTTTGACCTCTGTTTAAGCAACGAAGTTGAATGTCTTGAGTTTGTAACTCCAAATCTGAACTACCGTATATACAAACTATCGAGTATAAGTCAAATTTTCCAGCACATTTTATTGATTTATTTATTTTTAACTTTCATCTAATTTTAAAAAATTGTTTTATTAGGGGCTCATACAACTCTTATCACAATCCATGCATACATCAATTGTGTAAAGCACATTTGTACATTCATTGCCCTCATCATTCTCAAAACATTTGCTCTCCACCTGAACCCCTGGCATTAGCTCCTCATTTTTTCCCCTCCTTCCCCGTTCCCCACTCCCTCATGAACCCTTGATAAATTATAAATTATTATTTTGTCATATCTTGCCCTGTCCGACATCTCCCTTCACCTACTTTTCTGTTGTCCGTCCCAATGCAGTTTTTGTGGTAAAATTAGGTGCCTTGACTGATATTTGGGTTAGCTTATACTCGAGTATGTACAGTACTTCACATTCTCACCAACACTGGGCGTTGTCTTGTAGGCGTGTGCACTGGTGTCTTGTAGTTCTAATTTGCATTTCCTTGATAACTACTGAGGTTAAAACAGTTTTCATTTGGTTATTGGAAATTTGCATATTCTCTAGTGTAGCAGTTCTCAACCTGTGGATCATGACCCCTTTGGGAGTCCAACGACCCTTTCACAGGGGTCGCCCAATTCATAACAGTAGCAAAATGACAGTGATGAAGTAGCAATGAAAATAATTGTATGGTTGGGGGAGGGTGTCACCATAATGTAAGGAATTGTATTAAAGGGTCATGGCATTAGGAATGTTGAGAGCCACTGCTCTAGTGTAAAGGCCCATTCAAGTACTTTACAGTTTTCCTGTTGGGTTCCATTGGGTTATCTGCTCCTTATTAAATTGTAACATATATGAGGGGGTAACCCCCAAAACCAGAATCCACCCCCAAGTCATGTATTTAAATTATTTTTTAAACTAAATGATGATTTTATTGGGGATGCATTTAATTTTTTTTTTAATAAAACAACCCTATCACCTTCAAAGTACTCTCTATTACACTTAATACATTTGTCAAATCTGCGATGCCATTCTTGGAAACATTTTTCAAACTCATCTGTTTGGACAGCTGACAACTCCTCCCTTCTTTTTTTCTTCACCTCTTCTACATTGTCAAGTCACTGCCCTTCCATTCTCGGAAATGAAGTCACATGGAGTGAGGTCAGATGAGTAAGATGTGTGGGGCAAGAGAGGCATGCTGTTTTTTTGGCCCCAAACTGGTGGACTGTGATGGCTGCATGAGCAAGTGCATTGTCCTGGGTGTCAAACCAGTCCCCCTGTCTGCCACAGATCAGGCCTTTTTTGTCACACACGCTTACACAATCTTTTCAGAACCTCTAAATAGAAAACTTGATTAACAGTCTAACCTGCTGGAACAAACTCCAAGTCGACATTTTCGACCATTCGGGAAGTTGATGGACATACAGAACGAGGTTTTTCATCATTCGACATTTTACCTATTTTGAAACGAGAAAACCACTCGTACACTTGAGTTTTTCCCTAGCGCTGCCCTTATAATCTGTGTTCAACATCACAACAGTTTCTGCAGCACTTCACCAGCCCCACCCTCCACCCCCGAGCAAGAAGCAAAATGTTACAGCCTCACACTGTTCTCTTAAATCTGCCATCACAAAATACAAGATTCGAGCAAAACTGCTTTAACGAAAAAATTCACTGTGACTACAGAGAAACTTCCCAGGCAGCGCCACTGGGTGCACTAGCACTAACTCAGAGCGAGTTGCTTGCTGCTTGCCTAGGGGGGGAAAACGCATACGACGAAAGCTCAGCCAAGTGGACTTTTTTTTTCCTGCTTTTTGGGTGGGTGTACCTCCTCGTAGATGAGGGTGAGTAAAGCGTCGTTACTAAGGTTCCAATCTATACATATATGGGTTTAGTCTGAACAGATTGTATTTAAATATATCTCTGCTGTCAGTGGGGTGAAGAACAAATGAGTTCTCTCAGTAATACACCTGTCTTAGTCTCATTACGATGACTTTTTAAAAGATCCAATCCAAAAAAAAAAAAAAGATCCAAATCCAGTGGCTTCTGAGTGGGGGGAATCATCGGTACCAGTTAAATTCATGGCAGTAAAGTCAGTTCTAGAGTTTATGGAGACTATTTATTTGGAATACCAAAGGGATAGTGTTGACAGGTTCTTCCATAGGACATGGGACAGTTACAGGGGCTTATTAAGAATTTTCAAGAAAAAGTAAATCCACACTGGTGAGGAAAAAGCTGAGAATGTAGCACAAAAGACCGCCCCCATTCATAAGGATGCACTTGCTTATGAATGAATAAGCACGTGCTCCTTGTTGGAGGGTAGCAAGGACCGTCGTATGATTTTGTTGGAATATCTTACCCAGTCCCCCTTACAACTCTGATCTCATCCTTTCAGGCCACTTTTTGTTCCTAAAACACAGAATTTTTTTTCATAAAATGTTTTTTATTTACATGAAGTCAGAAACAAAATACTAGGATGCCTGCTACAATCACTCCTGTTGAACATTATTGTGGAGATTATTAGCATTGAAAGAACAGGAGCTAGAAAAATGAGGCTGATAATGAAAAAGAGAAATTGTCATTATTTTCAGAGAAACCTGGTATGCATAAATAAAGATGATCAGCTGAAAAGCTTAGAACTAAGCAAAAAGCTTGGTAACGGGGCTTGATTCCAAAACCAATATGGACATGTCAATAACTTTCCTACATATTCACAATTGTCAGCTAGAGAATATACTGGACTCATGATTCCACTGGAAATAGTGAACAGAATTTGAACATACATAAAATAAGATTTATATGAGAGCTGTATGAATAAAACGATCATGTTTCATAAACCCACATAAACTCATGCATAAATAGACTTACTATATTCTTGGAAAGTAAATTTTCATATTCTTCTCAAATAAAGTCTGTATATAGTCAATTCTATCCCCTTCAAAACGAGGATTTTTACAAGAAAACCATATAGGAAGTGTTTGACATCTTCCTTAGGAACAGGGAACCCTCCTGGCACAGTGACTCGGGTGCTCAGATGCTAGCCTGAAGGTCAGCCATTCATACCCACCCACCCACTCAAAGCACATTGAAATGGAACATAAATCACGTTTAGTTGCCCGCGCTGAAACTGCCACTTTGACAAGGGGTAACTCAAAGAGCACAGAGTTCTCCGGAGATGGGAACCCTGGATAGATGTAGACGGAGGATCTGTCAAGAAATAATAGCTTCAGGTTTTGTGTTTTTATTTCATAAATGTTCTATGGTTTAGTTGCATTGCATTGCTACTTCCATGTGTGTGACGTGTAAAATATACAAGTTCTTTGAAAGATACTGCAAATGCTCATGCTATGTGTCACCTTTTAATTTTTGTAATAAAAGTTCATTTCTTTTGAGGAACAGAAGATTTTAACTAGAATATAGAGAATGCTTTATTTTATACATTTCCTTGATAGTAGTTTTTTGTCCTGTTTACGGGAAATCTCATTTAATTGTCATGAAACAATTTCACCTACATTTGCATCTAAAATTGTGTGTTATGTACATACATATATATTTATTTATATATTCGTCTGTTTCACATCTCACATTTAGATCTCTAGTTCATCTGAAACTTATTTAGTGAAGAATATGAGGTGGATAAATGTAATTGATATGTAATTTACCCTGCACCTTTACCTGAGCCTCTTTCAATGAGATAGAAGGAAAACATGGTGAAAACTGCTAAATTATGTAAAATGTTTTTATACCATTTTTGATTCATTCATCTTCTTTGTATTTTCAAGGTTGAAGAGACCAAATGTCAAAATCCAGAGGTCAGTAACTTTAAATATAGCTAGTTTGTGCGGAGACTTAAGGAGACCATTGGGGGGTGGGGAATGGGGCAGCATGGACAATTTATACAGCTTTGAAAAAAGAAACCACTTTGTTCTGTGGGTTGTTATTGTTTTTCCCTCCAGGTTATCAAAGTCAGATCATTGCAATCTTTACGTTTTAACCATGTGCATAATTTGGCAGATCATTGTATCAGGATTCCACCAAAAAAATTACTTGTGCCCTTTTATTTTATATACAAGAAGATATCCCAGTTCGAGATCTCTGCTTCTCTTGATACCTCGACCACAGTCCGAATAAGAGTCAGAACAAATAAATACTGCTATGAGGATAGTAATCTCTGGAGCGAGTGGAGTGAAATGGGGACTATAGGTAAGAAAACAGTATTTCATTACAATTTAAATGGCTACCATTTAAATGGGAATTAAGCTATAGCAGAAAATTGAGTGAGGAAAGGGGAGGTTCCATTTTGTTTTATTTTTTATGTGAACCAGAGTAGTTAAAATTGGGGTTGGGCGGGGGCTGGGAATCTGTTTAATGACTGTCAAATCACTGGGGATTAATTTGCAATCCAACGCTCTTTGAAAATCCACAATCCAAACAGTGTTCTCCTCTCCACTGCCCTGACCTCCATTTGTGTTATGGACCTGAACCGGAAGGTAGGAGGCAGACAGGTCTAAATGCTGGTTGTATAATGGGAGAGGACTGTCCAGTGTGCCAGATGACAGGATCGAGAGTGGAACAGTAATCTTGGTGGAATTTAGAGGAGATAAACCTTTCTCCTAAGTTTGGAAAAATGACCGATGAATTGAGAGGCCAATCAAGCTCGGCACTAGGCTCAAGTTTATCTGTGTGTTGCGGACTGATGTCTAGTGTTTTCTTGGACTGGGAGATTAGTGTGTGACTCAGGGTTGGAACCTTAAATATCCCCCAATGTCATATGCAGTCTCAGGCAGCAGTAAGAATGTCGTATCCAGAACCAGGGGATGCTGTGGGCCAGGGGCCCAGTGATCTGGCCAGATCAGAGGTATGTAATATTTCATTCTGGGCCCCATGGACAAGACTGGAATCTCGCCTTGGAAAGATAACCAGGATATTGAAGGACCTCGACATTTGGTGAAGAATCATTGATAAAAGTAACTTTGGGAAATCATGATTGCTGACTTTGACTTATATGTGAGGTCCCTGGTCAGCAGTTGGAATCCACCGGGCACTCAGTAGGAGAAAGATGAGACTTTCTGCTGCTGTAACAAGTTTTAGCCTCAGAAACCCCAAAGGCGTCATTCTACTCTGCCCTATACTATATATATACTATTTACATCACTTTGAGTTAGAATTGATTCAGAGCAGTGAGTTTGGCTTGGTTTGGTCAGGTACAGGACATAATAGGCTATCTTTTGTGGCTCCAGGGGCACAAACTAGAACAATGAAGAATTCTTTAAACAGTTGGATAGATAGATGGCTTGGTGAGGGAATAAATTCCATATTGACTAAAGGAATGAGCAAGATGTGTTCTAGAGATGGTTATATTCATTACCTATTGCTATGTCACAAAACACCCCCAATTTGAATGGCTTAAAACAAAACATGCATTATCTCAGCGTTTCTTTGGGTCCGGAATCTGAGGATGTGGGTACAGCTTAATTAAGTACCTATATGTATAAATATATATATTTATATAGAGAGTATATATAAATACTATATACTTCATTCTTTTTTTTTTCCCTTTCTATCAAAAGTCCTTTAATTGGCCGAGTGAGCTCACCAAGTACTTAGCAAATCAAAGTGGCCTGACACTTTAGAAAAAGCATTGTTTGAGCTGTGGACCCAGGACCAGGCACAGAGCCTCCCTCCCGGTGCCCCCAGGCCTGGAGGGCAGAAGCTGCCTCTGGAGCAGGGCTGTGGAGCTCAGGCCGCCATGCCTAGTTCTGTTGGCTTGGGCATACAGCTCTCCCTGGCTGTGGGCACAGCCTCAGGGGTGGCACTGACTGAAGAGGCCAGGCCTCTGGTGCAATTGAAGTTGTGGTCACACTGCCTCCTTGGCTGCAATCCCCATCGGCAGGCTGCCCGGGAGCAGAAGATTCCGTTTCCTCACCGGCTTCTAGATGGAGGCCTCCCTCAGGTTTGAGCTGCTGGGAATTCTACGCAGGACTGTCTCATAACTTGGCAGCCGGCTTCCCCGAGCAAGAGAGATTGTGTGAGCGTGCGTGAGAGAGCACCCAGGAGGGCAGCCTCAGTCTTGTATTAGCTAACATTGAGAGTGCTGTACCCCCGCTGCTGCTGTGTTGTCGTGTAGAAGGGAGTTGTTTCGTCTGAGGCACACTCCAGGAGATGGGATGACACAGAGGGACCTGTACCAGGAAGTGGGGATCGTTTGGCCCCATCTTAGAGGCTGCTGCGTATCATTGTGCCGGACCCGGAGTGATGCCACCTGGGTGCTCCTGGTCATCCTCTGGTCTAGAAGGAAAGCCCTACAGCACAGAGCAGAACTGTTCCCGAGGGTTTCCGAGGCAGTCAGCCTTTAGAGCAGAACCACCAACTAGGAGGCCAGCAGCCCCACAGTTAATCCCCGGCACCAACATACCCCAAAGCCCAAAACTCTTCGCCATCAAATTGATGCCAAGTGACCCTTCAGGACAGGTGGACCTGCCCCTGAATTTCTGAGACTGGAACTCTGTATGGGAGTAGGAAGCTCCATGGGGGATAATAACATTTACCTTTGGAGCATAGATGAGCTAAAGCACGTGGAAGCCCCTACTATGGTGTCAGACTAGGGGCCTGGGTGGCACAGTCTGCGCCCCCTAAAGGTTGGTGGTTCAAACACACTCCACAGCAGTGTGCCTCCATACAGATTATAGCCAAGAAACCCCATGGGAGCAGCTCTACTGGTAACACTTGGGGTCCCCATGAGCCAGAATTGACTCGATGGAAGTGGGGTTTGGTTTGATTGGTGGTGTCAGAAGCATAGCAAGCGCTCAATTATGAGTAGTAGCTGTGGCACTTACCGTGATTCCTTTAAGTGTTTCCATACTGACTACAAAGTTAAGAGCCCAGAAGAAAATAGCCTGTTTTAATGACATGACATTTAATACATATGGCATCTTTGCTAAGAGAATCGGAAACCAGTTAAAGATTGTGTTATCAGATGATCTCTCTCTCTCTCTCTCTCTATCTCCACACACACTCCAACAACTTCTCCGTGTATAACTCAATGCCATTGTCTAACCATTCATCACCCCCCTCTCCAGCTTGCTCATGATCCTTCATGTATTTACTCACCCCAGGAATGTCAGGGATCAGGAGGACAGGGCTTTGTTTTCTCCTTACTATTATGATATAGAACAGGATTAAAGAATTATAGAAAATAGGTAGGAGACAGAAACATGTGCTCTCATAACCCCTTGACAATTTTGATGGTGAATTAGTGGAAGGTTTATAAGGAGATCATCCATTTTACATGCAACAGCTCCTCATGGTCTTCCCTTGTTATTATTTTTAGGCCAGCTACCTCATGTTGACTCTTGTCTTCCCCTTCCCCCAGGTTAACACCGATGACAACTTTTGTTTGCTTTATTTCTAAAAAGGCTTTTTTCCCCTCCCTCCTTGGCATGCCTTTTTCCAGATCAGAAGACCAGCTCCACATTCTACATCACCATCGTACTCATCATTCCAGTCCTTGTGGCAGGTGCAGTCATAGTCCTTCTGCTTTACCTAAAAAGGTAGGAGAGCTGTTCAGGCAGGCTCTGCAGTTTCTGCTAGTCTGCTTGCTATGGTTATTACTCTTCGCACTGGCATTTGACATTTGCCCAGTGGACTGAAAGCATTTTAGCCTTCAGTTGCTTAGGGTGGTATGGAATGGCCAAGAAGTCGTTCGTTCTGGGACCCATTTTCCGGCGAGCAAAGTATTGGATTTGTTGCCCTGGCCCAGCTCCCTTTCCGCTTGTTCGGGATCACTGAACAGGCCTATGTTCACTTTGCACTTTCAACTGGATGCAGCTTTAGAAATGGAGACTTCCTAATCAGATGGCCTGTCTAATATTAAGGGAAAGGAGGCTGCTGCTTCATGCTCTGAAGGAGAGAGCATCACCAGGTTGGCCTTGCTCCTGGAGCATGTTTGACCTGCTCTGACCCACTCCAGGGCCTGGTCCGATGCTAGGGTGTAGTCTTGCCGTAAGTAAGGCTGGCTGGAATAAAGTCACTGAGCTGGGTTGAGAGCTGTCCTGTCCGTTTCCGTCATCCAGCGCACAGTTAGGGAGTGCCATCTCTGTGCCAGACAGGGTCGTCCTACAGCAGTGCATAAGACAGTCCCTGTGGAGTGTATTCTCAACCAGTTGTCATGGAGTGGGTTCCCAGTTAGGGCCGCACCACGTGCATCACAGCACAATCGCTCCTCAGGCGTTCGTTCCAGTGACTGCTTTTGGAAAGCAGACCGCTAGGCCCTCCTTCCAAGGTCCCTTTGGGGGAACCTGAACGCCCAACCTTTCCGTTAGCAGATGAGCATTTCGCACTGCCTAAGGACCCTCATTTATGGTTGTGGGTGGGTGGGGAAGAGGGAGCTATACATGAAAAATAAATGAATAGTATAACATTTATAATATCACATCTCACTGTCATCAAGTCGGTTCTGACTCATGGCGACCCTGAAGGACAGGGTAGAAGTGCCCCTCTGGGTTTTCAAGACTAACTCTTTATGGGAGTTAGTTAGTTAGTTAGTTAGTTAGTTAGAAGCCTCATGTTTCTCCCAGGGAGTGGCTGGTGCTTTCAAACTGGTCAGCAGTCCCCTGTGCACATCTACTACACCATCAGGGCTCCTATAATATCATGTACTAACCCTGTCAGTGTAAGAATATAATCTCACACTAACAGCTGTGATTTGGCCTGGTGAGAAGTAAAGTTGTGGGTGGGGGAGGGACTAGGACATAAAAAGGGACTATTTTGCATAGGATGGCCAAGGAACGTCTCTCTGGGAAAGTGGCCCTGGAGAAGAGACTTGAGTAGAGGAATGAACCATGATGTATTGGAGGCAAGAATATTCCAGATTAAGGGAACAATGGGTACAAAGGCCTTGAGGGCAGATGAGTTTCATGTGTCTGGCTGGCCCAGAGATGGTGGGGAAGTAGGGAAAGGACAGATCAGGTAGGCCGTGGCAAGTAACTAAGAGTTTCTGCTAAGCGTGAAGGGGAATCACTGGAGGGCCTTAAGCAGAGGAGAGATGTGATCTGATTTCCCGACATAAAAGTCACGCCCCCTTAGTGACGTTGTGGAGAATTGCCTTGGGCAAGAATGGAAGCAGGTGGAGGCATGACCATATTTTTGGGGAATGCTGAAGGTCTGCTGGGCTAAAGGTTAGCAAGAAGTACTCAGCTGTGAGATATATTTTGAATGTAGAAATTATAGGACTTGCTGATCATTGGTTTATAGAGAAATGATAGAAATTGAGGCTTCCAGCATAACTTATAGATTTGGGGCATGAGCAGCACATGCCATTTACTGAAATCAAGAGGCCAAGTGAAGAGAGTTGGCAGTAAAGGAAAGGTGGACTCAGAACCCTGGAGTACTGCACTGTTCAGAGATCTGGGAGATGGAGCAGGTTCACCAAAGAGCACTGTAAGATTCAAAAATGGGAAGGAGAGAAGAAGAAACAGAGAGGAATGCCCCTGCCACCAGTTGGTTTGTAAGTAAAGCACTATTAGTATGTGTTTTTAAATTTGAGATGCCTGGTAGAGAGAGATGTGAAATAGGCAGTCGAGTATATGGATCTGGATTAAGGGCGAGGTCTAGACTGGAAATAGAATTCTGAGAATCCTTGACATGTAAATACGTGTGGCCATCAAGTCAATTCTGACTCACAGTGGCCCGATCAGGGTTTCCAAGGCTTTGAAACTCTTCACGCATAGTGGTTTAAGCATTGGACTGCTAACTGGAAGGTCAGTGGCTCCACTCCACCAGCCCCCCCTCTGCAGGAGAAAGATGAGGTTGTCTGCTTTGTAAAGATGTATAGCCTCAGAGCCCCTAGGGCCCAGTTATACTCTGTCTTAATCAGAATAGGGTTGCTGTGAATTAGAACTGACTCAATGGCAAGGGTTGGGTTTGGATTGACATATCAGTGGCTTTAAACCCCCCCCAAACTAAGAGACCACTGAGAGCGTAAGGGAGATCGGGAAGGAAAGGGATCCAAGCAGAGAGCTGAACCCTGGAGTACTGCACTGTTCAGAGATCTGGGAGATGGAGCAGGTTCACCAAAGAGCACTGTAAGATTCAAAAATGGGAAGGAGAGAAGAAGAAACAGAGAGGAATGCCCCTGCCACCAGTTGGTTTGTAAGTAAAGCACTATTAGTATTTAAATTGTAGAGGACAACTAATTTGATGGCTCCTTTGCCCTACTCAAATGTGAGGCTCCTCAGGCATCGATTTTCCATCGCCTGTTTGATAGATTGCCTTGCAGCTGCACTCCAGGTGACTGCTAGTGCTTGTCTTTTGTTCATGCCTTCTTTAATATGGCTGCATTTAGGTGGACTGTACTGCGGACTTGAACATTTGACCTCAGATATCTCTGTTTTCTTAAAGGCTCAAGATCATTATATTCCCTCCGATTCCTGACCCTGGCAAGATTTTTAAAGAAATGTTTGGAGACCAGAATGATGACACCCTGGTAAGCCTTGACTCTGGCATGTGAATTGAGTGCCTTGAAACAGCATCTGATCTAAAAGATGGGAGAATGGCTGGTTTAAAGTGTTGTGTCGCTCAGGCCAAATGCACTGGATTTAAGAAGTCCCCAGAAGAATCCTTTAAGCCTACTGCCACCGAAGTCGATGCCCACTCAATTGTAACCCCAGAGAACTGAGTAGACTGCTCCTGTGGGTTTCCAAGACTGTAAATCTTTATGGGCTCAAAAAAACCCTCATCTTTCTCCTGCAGAACAGCTGGTGGTTTTGAACTGCCAACCATGTGGTTACCAGCCCAATGTTTAGCCCGATGGTAAGCCCACTGCACCACGAGGGCTTTGATACCTGCCTCATTTCACTGGGCTTCATTCTCTTCTCTGTGCAGGGCGATGGAGCCTTCTGTATGAAACTAGCCCAATAGGTGGGTCTTCTGATTCTTTGATAATTTTAAACAATTGTCAAAGACAGGATGAGTGCTAGAAATTTCCTTTGTTCCTGCTTTTCCTGGAAAGCTGTACTCAGGAGACACGGAAATGGAGCTAACCTACCCCTCTTCTTGTATCCTGCAGACCCTCATGCCAGATTTTGTGGCTGGAGAACCTTAACAGGAACAAAATAACTTGAGGCTATTGTGGTAAATCTATTTATTTTAATGAAGTAAGAAAGACACAACATGACATAAAAATCAGTATCATTATATCTTTCAATTATCTTGAATTAGTAACATTAGACCCAGAGCAGTAAGGGGAAGTAGTGCAGCATGTACACAGCAGCCTGGGCTCTGGGGTCCGATGGTTTGGATTCAGATCTCTGCTGGGTTGCTTACCATCATTTTGATATTGGATAACTTCCTCTTAATTTTCCTGTGCCTCAGTATTCCCATTTGTAAACTTTGGGGTAGCACCTACCCCTGGTATTCATAAGTAAGTTAAATAAAAACCTAAAAACCACTCATTGTGCTCGGCGCACATAATAAATGTAAGCATTTAGTGTAATTATTGATAACATCTTTCATTGATCTTGAATCACCACTCAATTCCTTTTTAAAACCATTTTATTGGCACACAACCCACATATACAGCTCAATAGTTCAATCACATCACCAACGAATTCTTGTAACGTGGACGATTCACAAGGGCAGGGGATAATCACCGGGTTAAGGAAGAGGGTTGGGCTGATGTGTTATCAGAGGAGGATCCATCCCGTGGATTTGCTTTCTCATGAAGTCATGGTCATAGACAACTCAGCCAGACCCTTGGCTATTGGGCACCCCCTAGGCCTGGAGGCCTAGAAGCCAAGGATCTGTTGGGGACGCTAAACCCCAGAACTGGGGCGAGTATGGCAACCTGTGTTAGTTCTTCCGTGTTGGTAGAGGAGTGCACGAAGTACTCGTAATAAGTAGAGATTATTCCCTCACCTAATTTGCAATAAAAAAAAATGTTAGAAAAGAAATTGAGGTGACTGTGCCTCAGGCCATTCCTCTCTTGGTGAAACAGTCTGCAGTGCACCGTGGCCATCACTGGTATCGGTGTTTTCCTTAGGATGATCTTTGTCGCTATCTTCATACCACAGCTACTAAGTGAACAGCCGCCATGGGCTAGACAGTGAAGTAGAGGCCTTGCTTATGTTCTTGTGGTGGAGCCACCTAATCACTAGGAAGTCGGTGCTGTTGGTCTCATTTTACAAATGAGGAAATTGTGCCTGGGTGAGGTTGAGTCACTTTGTGGAGATCACACCCCAGGGGGTTAGGGATAGCTTGATGAGGCCGAGTCCACCCATCTCCAACCTTGGTGAGCCAGAGCCACCAGGGCAAGGCTCCAACCTCAGGCAGATCAGGGGCTGTGCAGAGCGCGGCAGGTCAGGGTGGGAGGGAGCTGGCGATGCGTCTGGTTCTCAGGAGGGCATAGGGTATAAAGGAGGATTACATTTTTCTTATCACCAGTCGCCAGGCTGCTACCTTCCCAAATGCTGCTTGCAGAAGGCCACTGTGTCAGGTCAGCTCCCAATGCACTCATTGTGTGTCCTCTCTCACCACCTGTCCTCAGCTTCTTCGCCCAGTGGGTAGTCAGTCCACTTCTCTGCCCTTTCCTTGGACACACAGGGGTCCAGGCTGACCAGCTCAGTCGGTTTCAGTGGGTCTCTGGTGTCTCTGTTGTAGAGGTTCTGGAGAGCTGGTCTGTCTGGTCCACCATCTGACCAGATGTTCTCTAGCCTGGTGTATTTACAAGTTTTCAATTTGGAGTCTTAGGCAGAGCAGACACTCTTCCATTTGTCACAGGCCCCACCCTTCCTGGCTATCGTACACAATGTGGCTTCACATGCCGATCTTCTGTGCCGGGCACCTGCAAGGGCTCTGAGATGGCTACCCTTCTTTAGCAGATTGGAAACTAGTTAAAGCACCACGGCCCAAATGCACACTCTGTGAAAACATGAGACTCACCGATCCACACAAGACGTGTCAACCAAAGCCTGGAAGAGATCATCAAAATGCTGAGAATGTGATGAGATCTGTACAAGCGCATATAGCCTTTATGGAGGGCAGCTTGGCAAAAGGCAACACGAATCTTGGAGCCTTTCATGCTTGTAGAATCGTAGTTTAAGGAAGTAACCCAACAACAGCAAAAAGATGGGCAATGCGTCCTTTGTTACTAATATAAACAGAAACCAGTGGAACAGCAAGAATGGAGGATTTGTTTTAAAAAATTAAAAGTTGAATTCCCCAAGCATTTAAAGTCCTAACGAAATACTTGTAAGACTACAAAATACCCATAAATGCATAGCACTAGCCCTACTCTAATTTTGATAACAATAAAATACAGTAATATATACATGGGACAGTGATTGGAAGGAAATGGAGTACAATACTCAACTCGAGCAGGAATGTAATTCCTCTCTACTTTTCTGAATATCCCAAATTGCCTATAATGAGCATGTATTATAATAATAATAAGAAAATCCCTGTGCCAATCATTAAGGGGAACAAAGGACATTATAGTCATCCAGGTCTGAGAGCTAATAGGGACTTGAACTTTGGCGATAGCACAGGAGATTAATAGATACAAGAGACGTTGTTAAAGGAAAATCACTATGACTCAGTGATGCTGGGTGGGTGTTGAAAAGTGGAGTGAGCAAAAAATAATTTCAAAGTTTCAGGTCTCAGTGATTGTGTGACGTTGACGGCAGAACCAGATCAATTATCTTCCTTAGAGCGGAGGAAATCATTCTTTTTTCAATTTTCGTTCTAGAGGATAATATGTTGGTTTGTTTCCAACGAGTTGGATAATTCTATCATTTAGTGAGGCTTATATAGTGACAAGGTGGACCACTAGAAGGTAGTTTTGGTTGTGGTGGTTGTAGATCATTAAACAAAATCAGTGCTTTGAAACGGAAAGTATAAAAATGCCAGACAGAAAAAAAATTTCTTGTCTGCTTTTTCATCAAATGAATACTCTGTTTTTTCTTTACATGGCTGCAGTCCTCACAATATGAACTGCGTATCAGCCATAAGACTAGCCTTTTACTTCTAGACTCCTCCATGGAATATGGAAGGAATATGGCCTTAGAGGTCGTCTACTGACCTTGATGTTTACATGTTGAAGGATTTCCTTTGAGATCTAGAAATCTCCAACACACTAGATTTGGGTCCTTTAGAGATTGGAGACATTGCGGGACTGTCCCAGAGGGTTCGTTGCAGAACCTGAACTAGAACCCTTTCTAAGCCCAAGTTCCTGACGCATAATCCAAAGAAATAACTCATGCCTTTTCTACACGCTCTTTTCTCCCATACGACACCATCAAGCGTGGTCATTAAATTTTTTATTTAGGTGTGGCCGCAACTAAATTAAATCCTCAGTATAGTGTTCCTTAAGGTTTCTCATGTTTTCGTGATGTTTTGTTCATCACTGTAGCAACATTTTTGGCCAACAAGGTATCTTCTTCTTGCTTTGCTGTTTGTTTTTCTCGCTGACTGATTGGGCTGCAGGCCATATTTGGTGGGGAGGGAATTGCTTCTGGCCTCTGTGTTTCTTTTCATCCATCAAATAGTTCTAGTCCTCCCTGCTTCTTGAAAACCCATTCTATTTTCACAACTCTGCCAGCTTTGCAGTCCTGATTGGAAAGTAGCCTTTCAACTTACAGTTGACTTCCAAAGCCTGCTGATTTCCCCCCTTTTATTCATTTCTGTACATATCTTGAACAATGATGATGAGGATGTGCAGGACTGGGCAAGGTTTCCTTCTGTGGTCCATGGTTTGCTAGGAGGGGTCAGGACGGCACTGAATCACAACATGTAGCTTTCCTCAGGAAGAGTGTTTTCCTTCAGAGTGAAGCTACCATCCTTCTCCTCTTACAATGAATAATCCCTGAATAGGATCTAACATTCACACCATACGCACTTGATAACCATCCCTATTAGCAGGAACCCCACCTCCTTGATTTGTTCCACCTGGGAATGCTAAGACTGCTCCCTGTGTTCAGGAGGACCCCCGTGTGCCCCCTCCCACTCTCTACGCTTGTTTTCTCTCTTGCCACATGAAGCTAATCTGTGTGGTGGTCTGTTAGCAAACCCACCAACTCTTCAGCGAACTCTCTTTACACTCCTTCGTACCCTCGCCTGAATCCCTTCTGTGGTTGAGAGGTGCCATTGAGTTGGTGCCAGTCGACAATGACCTTGCACAACAAAAGGAAACTGCCTGCCTGCTTGTGCGCCATCCTTACAATGGTTGTGAATATTTGGGCCCATGGTTGCAGCCACTGTGTCGATCCATCTCCTTGAAGGCCTTCCTCTTTGTTTCCACTACCCCTCTCCTTTACCAAGCATGATGTCCTTCTCCAGGGACTTTCATTAGGGCTTGTACAATGACGATTTCGCTATTCCTGTTGTGGGATCTGTAGTGAGAAGCTGGCACCTTTCTGTAAAGCACTTCTTTCCATCACCACCAGCTGAACCCTGGTCATGCTGAAATTCCGATCCTGCTAGGACAGCAGG